CATTCCTGGGCACACCGGTGAAGCCACAGTACTGCTGCCTAGGACTGGAAGCCAGGTAGAGGAGGGGGCTGCACAGAGGCCGAAGGCAGGGAGCTAATGTGAAAGGATCTGGCAGTTCCCTGCGGGGAAAGGGGAGCTTTGTTGGGGGCCAGGGCATGGGTCAGGTGATGGTGTGGTGACCTGGGCCAGGAGGCACTTAGAGGAAAGAGCAGATAGGACCTCAGGTGGAGGGGAGGAAACTGCCAGGCTGGGGGTAGGCGCTGGCATGGGAGGGCAGGAAGAGAGCCCACACCCCTCGGGTCCTTGGACCCCTGATTCGGCATCAGGCTGTCCATAGGTTTCCCTAGAGCACGGGGCCGGGTCCACCAGGCCCGGGGTCTGGAGTGGACCACAGAGGAGCCAGTGCAGGATGAAAAGATGGGATGAGCTGAGACTGATGGGTAGACAGGGCACAGGGCAATGTCCAGGCCCGATTGCCCCTGAGGAGTTGACGTTCTCGTGAAGGCATCTGGGCGCCTTCCCAGGGATGGTGGATCTCCGTGTTCGCTGCCCGGAGTACCATCTCCCCAGTTCAGTCCCCAGGCCTCTCTCTCCCTCTCTCTCGGGGACCTCTGCCGCCTGCACCTCTTGAGAGAAGAGTGGTGGGTGGGTGGGGCAGCCTGGGGTTGGCTCACAGGGGCATCTGTGAAGACAGTGATGGGCTTCCTGGAGCCCCCTCCCTGGGCCCACACCACTTCTCACCCCTACATGCTGACTTCTCCCACAGATGCTGCCATCCCACCCCCAGCCACCCTGGAGCGAGTGGACCAGGAGATCATGTCTGTCCAGGCAATGGTGGGCCCTGAGGCTCCAGGACCTGCAGGGGACCAAGCCAGCCCTGGCCCTAGGGGACCACTCACACTCCAGGAGGCCAGCCCCCAGCCTCCAGGCACTGAGGTGGTGGAGGAATCAGGTGAGGCCCAGTGATGGGCCGACCACAAAGTACAACCTGCTCCCAGACTCCCCTTCTCTCTATGCTGACCTCAACTTTGGTCACCGTGTGTGCCCATCCTATGAGAGTGAACTCACAGAACCCTGGGGACCCTGACACCTTGATGGCTCCATACACTGGGGGCCCTGAGCAAGACCTACCCCTTGTTCAGCTTGTCCCCATCTGTGAAACTGGGTAGCGGGGTTGGTCCTGGGAGTTTCTACCCACCCTGAGCACATCTGTCCTCTGAGCCAGAGGCCTCCTGTGCTCCAGGGCAGGTGAGGAGGAGAGGGGAAGAGGAAGGAGGGGTAGATGAACCTTGCCCCTGACAGGTTAGCTCCTGGAGATGCTGCATCCCATTGCGATGAAGGTGGGGTGGGGGGAGGGCAGCCTTAGGGCTGGCAGCCCGGGCTAGGGACTAGGACTGGAGGTAGGCCCTGGCAGAGGTGGGCATGCGTGGCAGGAGCCTGGAGTTTGGGGCCCCAGACATTGTGTCCCTGGAGGTCTGCCTGTGCTTGCGCCTTCTGGGTCCTGGAGGGCTACACAGGGGCATGTCATGGGGGACAGACCCCCTGGTACATCGCTGGCTCCATTTCACTAGGCCCCAGCCTCCCACCAGCCGAGCCCCAGAAGATGCCTCAGCCCCTCCCCTATGTGGGCCCTGAGCAGAACTCAGGGTCCCCCGCGGAGGCTCAGGGACGCGTCGTGCCCATCCGGTAACCTCTCTGGCGTGCTGGGTGACACAGTCCATTAAGGGATATCCAGTGGCAGGGCAGGAGGAATAAAGGGTGGGCTTACGGCACCCCAGGATGCTCCCTGTCAGCCCCACCCCAGCCAAAAGGCAGAGTAGGGAGAAGCCACCTTAGGGGCCAAAGGTGTGGGGGGCCCCTGTCTCTATGCCCCGTCCCAAACAGTCTGCTTTAACCCCGGGGGGAGGGGCAGAGACTCTCCCCTGGGGATGACCATCTTACCATATTCACTGCCCACCTCAGAAGTAGAGGGGCAAAGCAGACAACTCATCCTGATGTACTGCCTCAGGGTGGAGGGTGTGGCCTGGCCAGGGACCGGTGCCACCACCGAGTTCTGGGATATCCAAAGCCACGTGTTCATGGAGACCACGCACCGGACATATGTATACCAGGCCAGCGACTCTGGCACCACAAGTAGGCTACGTGTGTGTCCCCATGCCCTGGGTTGGGGGGGACACTTGGAACAGAGGAGCCATCTGGAGTATGTAGCCCTGCTGTGGCCGGCTCCAGCTCAGACTCATTGCAGGGTGGGCTGTGGTGAGCTTTGGGCGGCGCAGCCTGGGTCCTTTCCCACAGGCTCTGTCCCCCACCCCCAGGGCCACCAACCATGCAGGTAACCATTGAGGACGTGCAAGCACAGAGGGGCAGCACGGCTCAGTTCCAAGCAGTCATCGAGGGCAATCCGCAGCCCATGGTGACCTGGTACAAGGTAGGGATGGGCGCAGGGTAAGGGGCACTGTGCAGTGAGTGCCATACCCCACCAGACAGGGTATGGCACTCGCTGAAGGCGGTTTGGGCCACGGTGCTGGTCCCTGGGATGGGCTGATGGCCGCCCTGCTACTGGCTGTGCATCCAGGACAGCGTTCAGCTGGTAGACAGCACTCGGCTAAGTCAGAAGCAGGAAGGTACCACCTACTCTCTGGTGCTGAGGAATGTGGCCCAGCATGATGCCGGCATCTACACCTGCCTAGCCCAAAACGCTGGTGGCCAGGTGCTGTGCAAAGCGGAGCTGCTGGTGCATGGGGGTGAGTCGGGGGACCCCTCCTCCCAGGCCTCAGTCCCCGCTCCATGTGGGTGTGAGGTCCTGCAGGCTCCCTGAGGCTTGGGCACAGGGGGCTGCCCCTGTGGACACTACAGAGTTGGGGAACGGGGCAGTCATCTCTCCACACTGATGGCTGATCACTCCTGGCTGTAGAGGATGGCGAGCCAGACTCGGAGAAGCAAAGCTATCGGAGGAAATTGCACTCCTTCTATGACGTCAAGGAGGAGATTGGGAGGTATTGTCACCCAGCCCCACCCCGGGAGCCCCTCTCCCCCCAGAGTCCCCAATCTAGGAGCCACCAGCCCCCATCTTCTGGAGCCTCCATCACCCTGAATCCCTGCTTCCTGGGAACCCCATCTTCCAGGAGCCACCCCCCAGTACCCACTATTCCCTAGGAACCTTGCCCACCCACCCAGCCCATGCTCTCCTAGAACCTTTGCCTCTCAGGAATCCCACTAACTCAGCACCTCCGGCCCCTTGGGAGCGCCTGTCCCCTCATTGTGTCCCCAGAGCCTCCACTCCTTAGAGTACCCACTTATCAGGAAGCCCTGCCCCTCAAGATTTCCTGCTCCTCAAAAACTCCACCCCCGGGAGCTCCCTTCCCC